TTATTTTAAAATAATTATTAAAATTTTTAATTAACTTTATTATCAAATAATATATTATTTTTAAATTAATTAATTTCAATTAAATAAATTAATTCCTGTTTTCTCCCCCTTAGTTCAGTAATCATCATTTGTAGCTTTCATTTTCCATTAAATTGTTTAATTCAGAGAGAGTTCAAAATGGAAAGTTTGGAAGATGATGGGGCTAGAATGGTTAGGAGGAAGAAGAATGGTAATTTCATTTTTTTTTTATTAAAAAAATTGAGAATGCATTGAACCTACATTAAAAATGAATGTGGGTCCAAGTTGGAATTGCCAATGTGTAAAAATGATCCCATGTGGCATTGATGTGTTATTGTGTGAAGCTCTAAAACCAATGTGCTACATGTGATCATTGAACATTAAATTTTGCCTCATTTGCTCACATCGATAAGTTGGAGGGAAAAAATCCATACATTGTAAACTAAGAGGTAAAAACCCTCAAGGTTAATAATGTAAAGAGAAAACCATGAGTTTTTGTCTTCCAAGCCAGTAGTGTCAACATGTAATGTGGGTGCTCATATAGTGCTGACATAACACTTATGTGGTGTTGATGTGGCATAAGTAACGGAGGACTAATGGTCACATGTTGCACGTGGTCATTCAACATTAATTATTATCTTATTATCTTAAACTTGAAAGATTGGAGGGTAAAAACTCATAAATTGTAAAATGATGGGTAAAATCCCTTATACTCAAAAAGTTGAAGGGTAAAGTAGGGGTTTTTGTCTAAAGTTCTCTAAACTTTCCTTGTTATAAATTATTTACATATTTTTATATATCAATAATACAATAAAATAAGAGTAAAAATGACATTTTTAACTTTTATTTTCCGTAACATAATTTCCAACTTAAAAACTTTTCTTTCACACTTTTTGAAAAACAAATGTTATTCACCAACTTTTCCTATATCCATTTGACAACTTTCCCTATACTAATTTATTACTAAATACAAAAAAATTAATAATTGAATAAAATTTTAATAAAACTTATCAACTTTTTATACAGTATTTATCCAATTTTTATATAGTACTTTTTAATAATTTTTTCAATAAAAACTTTTCTTATAAAATGGACATTTTAACCAAACAAACCCTTAAAATTGCTCCTCGTCTGCCTTGAAAAGTCTTCTTAGGTATTAATTTTAGTCAACTAAATCCCTGATCTTCCTCGAAAGTTTGTCAATTAGGCCGTGTTTGGTAAGTCAATTTCTCTAGAAATTGAATTTGGGGAGGCCACGCGTAATTTTGAGTCAAAATTTTGAAATTTATGTTAGGGTGGTGAAATTTCTACATAGTCTATTATATAGTTGGTATAATTGGTTCTATATGAATACTTTGTCGGTTATATTTTTAATATATTGATTATATGAATATAATATATTATATTTTGAGATATAATTGGTTGTATGATTAGGAAACTTTTACCTTGCCAGGAAACATAATCTGACACATATAATTGATGATATCCAATAAAATCATTTATATATTCTTGATCTTGGATTCTTTTATTTTTAGACTAAATCATGATTTGATTTCTATCAACTTTCCTCTATCCATGGAAACCAAACACAGCTTTTTTTCTAGAAAGGGGAGCATGATTCAGGGAATTGTTAAGACCACTAATAAGAATATTAAGGTCAATAAATTTGCAAAATATTATATTCAAAAATATTAATTTTATTTAATTTAATTATAAAAATAATTAAAATTATAATTATTAATTACTAAAATAATTAATATTTATTAATTAATAAATTAATATATTTAAATATTATTTAAATTATTATTAATTTTTTGAATATATTTAAATATAGTTAAATAATATTATTTATTAAGTAATAAATTAATATTATTTAAATTATTATTAATTAATACATGCACTCCCTCTAATTATTATTAATTTTTTGAAAAAAATTACACTAACATGAATCAGAAGTTCAGAACCAAATGTCTTACAATCTAATAAAAAAGTTTAGACATGTGTAGTAACCATTTGCTTGCAAATAAAATATGATTTTTAAGTAAAATTCAAAGCTTGGAAATTAAAAATAGTAGGACAATGCTAAATGTATATATTTTTACCTCATAGCATTTATCTCAATCCAACTTATTAATTACTGTAGTGTGTTATTTGGTGAGATGCACGAATCATGTTAAATAGTTGACTCTCCAAAAATAAAAAAGGTAGTAGGAAGAGAACAAGGGCATTTTGTTCAATGGTCTTAATAAGCTTTAATTTAAATTCAATTGGTGTAGGTTTTTTTTGAATAATTTTAAAAAGAATCGAATTCGAATCGTTACTGCCCAAGATAAGAGAATCGTTGCTGCCCGAGATAAGAGAATACACTTAAACTAAATATGGTTTGATTACGCTGGACTAAAAAATGCAAGTACAATTTGTGTAGGTTGTTATGCGCCTAAGCGTAGTTTTTTTTATTTTTTTCGCCGTCTCCCGTGACGGTCTCGAAAGGCAATGGAGACTTCAAATCAAAATTGTCAAAATTGTTAATATTGTATCGCGGGTCTCGAGAAATAAAGAAGTCTTGAAATCTTAAGATTTCTTGATTTTTTGTTTTGTCTTACATTGATATACATGTATATTATTTATATTAAGTATGTATATAAATTTTATTATTAATTTTATTATATGAATATAATTAATTATATTTTGATAAATAATTAGTTTATATGATTAAGGAATTTTTATTTTGTCGAAAAATATAATCCGACACATGTAATTGGATTATATCTAATATAATCATTTATATACTCTTAACCTTGAGTTTTTCTATTCTTGGACCAAGCCATGATTTGATATCTATCAACTTCCCAAGATCTATGGAAACCAAACACAATCTTATTTTTGAAAGGGAAGCATGATTCAAGAAATGGTCCTGACCACCAATAAGGATAATAAAATTATTATATTTATAAAATATTATATTTATAAATATTAAATTTATTTAATTTAGTTAATAAAAAATTATTAATTATAATTATTAATTCATTAAAATAATTAGAAATTTATAATTAATAAATAAAATATTATTTTTAAATAATATTTTCAAATATTAAAATATTAATTACCCTAGCATATTTGATAGTAATACCACCCCCATGATTCAGGGTCTAGTGTTATGGATTAATCACCTAAAAACACTTTTCGAGAATAAGTGATTTAACACTTTTTGGGGATGGTAATTTCACAAAAGTGCTGCAACCGAATACAACCAAGACTAGATCAAAAAGGGAATACAACCAAAGATGAATGCTCAGTGTGGGCTGAGTTTACATGCACTCCTTTTAATTATTATTATTTTTTAAAAATAATTACACTAAGATCAATGAGAACCAAGTGTCCTACAACCTAATAAAAAAATTCAGACGTGAGTAACCATTTGCTTGCAAATAAAATATGATTTTTAACTAAAATTCAAAGCTTGGGAATTAAAAATATTAGGACAATGCTAAATGTATATGTTTTTACCTCATAGTACTTCTCTCAATCCAACTTAGTAATAACTGCGGTGTGTTATTTGATGAGATGCGCGAATCGTGTTAAATAGTTGACTCTCCATAAATTGCAAAAGGTAATAGGAAGAGAATGAGGGCAATTTTTCTTTTTTAATAAATTGTTAAGGGATAAACTCAAAACTCGTCCATAAAAAATGAAGAATGCACCGAAAATGAGGGCATTTTGTTCAATAATCTTAATAAGCATTAATTAAATTCAATTTGAGTAGGTTGGTACGTGCCCATACGTGACTTTTTATTTTTCTCTGTCTCCCGTTACGGTCTCGAAAGGCAATGGAGATTTCAAACTGAAATTGTCAATATCTATCTATATGTGAATTAATTTTTTTATTAATATAATACATATCATATATAAAATAATAATAATATTGGCACTTGAGTCTTTGAGTCAATGACGTCAAATCACGTATTAGTGCATTCTTCCACTCTCAAGACAACTGTTCGAATCCAACTTCACACGAATTTATTCAAAAAATAATAATATTGTATATAGCTTTAAATTTATTATTATAAATATATATTTTTATAAATTAATATTAATTTTTTTAATTATACTTATAAATATAAATATATATTATAATATTTATATATAATATTAAAGAGAGAATAAGATACAACTAATTTATCATAATAAATAAACTTAGGTCCACCATGTGGAAGCTCACCTCCCATTTATCTTTTAGAAAATCAAAACCTCTCTAATGCTTTTTTTTTTTTTTTGGTTTTCCACCTGGTATCCGATGTTTCGTCCCGACTAATCCGGACCCAACTCGCATCGCGCACCTAGAAATGGTCAGTGAGTCTCCCAGCGGGGGCTGCTACGTACACAAAGGCTCGAACTCGAAACTTTACTTAAATTGGAACAAACCGCTTACCACTTGATTCAACCCTTCGTTGGCAACCTCTCTAATGCTTTGACTGTATAGTTTCTTCTCTTTCTGTATCTATTATTTTAGAGGTTAATATAATTTTTAATAATTGTTATTGCTAGTTTTTCTTTCATACTCTATATTATTAGGTTTTAAAGAAAATCCACATTTTTTAAATTATTTTTTATTTTCTTGTCTTATTTGAGTATAACTAAAATTATATTTTAGGTTAACGTTGCTTTTTATATTTAAACCTTTTTTCCCTTTTCTTTTTTTGACTTATTCTTTTATTTGTGTGTTATTTATGTGTATTGACCAATATACTAAATTTTGATAAGTATGGCTAATATTTGATAGGTACAACCAGTATTTAAAGTATATTTTGCTAATTTTACTCTCTAGTATATATGTATCAACTATGATGCCCAGCATGATATGAGATCAACAACATTTCTTTAATTTTTTTTTTTTTTTAACTTTTGCTTCGAGAAACTCTTTTATGCAATAGTGATGGATCTGACAAAAAGGTTAGATCATGTGAATTTAAATTGAGTTATCTCGACTTTTAATTTTATTGAGTTAGATTATTTTGAGTTTTACGTTTAAAAAAATATATTCATGACACATCTATGCACAAGTCTCAAATTAGTCATAACTTTTTAAAAAATTAAAATTAATATTAATTGTAATAATCTAATAAATAATAAGTATTTTATAGTATTTAATTTCATTTTATTTTTAAAAATTAAAATTAAAACTATAATTAATCAAAATTTTAAATTTTAAAAAATTAATTAATTTTAATCAGATCATTTCAAATTAACCTCATTTGACCTTGACCCAATCTAGTTTGGTCCAAAGAATTTTGATTTGAGTTATATTAGATAATACTTTAGACCTATAACCTTACCCATAATAATAAGTTGGGTTGAATTTTTAGATTTGATATAATTTTATCAAATCTAAATAGGGATATTATATAAGTAATAATTCCAATGGGGTGACTCAATGCTTAAAAACTTGAGATTCTAAATTGAAAATCTTAAATTTGAGTTTTGAGTTGGATGATAAAAGATTTAAAAATAAGAGAGTTATTCCTCTTATATAACCCATAATAAGATGTACCAAAAAAATATAAGCAATATTTGTTTCATGGGAATATAACAACACATTAGCATGTGCAACTTCTTTAAAAATAAAAATAAAAACTTTTCGATATCTGAAAACTATATTGGATTTTAATTAATTTAGAATTAAGATAAGTTAACCTCATAAGGAGGAAATCTTTTCTAATATCTATTCTTTTATTTATAAGATTCAAATTTGAGATTTTATTTAAAGGAATTAAGTTCTTTTTTCTCATATCAACAGATTGTTAATTGCAGCCTTTATTTATACTATAGTAAATAACATATTTTTTAATATATAACTTTTGAACATAGATTAATGATGTGATTAATATATTTTTTTACATTAATTATGAGTATAGAGAATGACAAAAGATGATATTGATTTATTAATAATGTCTACTAAATAATTTTAATTAGATAATTAATTAAAATAAATAAAGAATAATAGGTTAAAGGATGAGAAAAATATTTGTCTATTTAAAAAAAATGAAAAAACAATAATTAATTGAAAAAATAAAAAATAATATTTATTTTGAAATATATAAAGTAATAAATTAATC